GGGGGGGGGGGTTTCCTGAGCGGGCTAGGCGCCATCTCCCACGTCGTGAAGTCCCCATTTCAGCATCAAGCGGATTGAAACCGTAGAGTGTAGAACTCCTTGGACTCCATGCTCAAAACTTGTATCGGTTCCATCCCTATGCCAAAGAACTGATATCCCTGGGGTCGTGTGTGAAGGCGACGACCGTGGGGGAGAGGTCCTTTCTCCGGAGTCGGACTCTCCGGTGGACAGTTGTCCCAGGCTCCCCCATCGAAGTGTGGACACCATCTTGCCGACATATTGTTGCCAATCCGTGCTGTGTTCTTCAGCCGTACCGACTCAGATTGCTATGTACTCGCGAACGAAAATCTGTCTGGGAGATGAGGTTTAATCCCACAAGTAGAGGGGGCGCGATGCCCGCTTCAATCCAAGGTTTATGCCGTCCAGGTGTCTGAGGTTCACCCCCTAACCATCTCAACTTTATTGCCTCGGGGCATGGATGTTCCCACAAGATCGCCGCCACTACCCAGTACCTAGTTTCCAATCGAGTGGCGAGTACTCCATCGACAATCAATCAATGTTTAGACACTTCGTCCTCCAATAGACGGCCAGACGGTTGAGATCCAGGCAGGCACTCTCAGCGCGAAAGCCCTAGATGCCACGAGTAACTCCGCGATCCGAAATTTGCAGAGTCCGATGGCTGGTCCGTCTGAAAGAAATGGGAGCTGATGCACCACGACAAACACAAGGCTGAGCCCCTATCCCACACTGCACTTGGACGATTGTCCTCCCATGACATAACAACAGAGCTCGGTTTGAGTATGCCTCGTGTCCATAGTGCGGGGGGCCGCTCTCTTTTGATTTTGCCGGTAGCTACGTAGACGTGCAGTTACACCGGTTGGTGCGGCAGCTCTCAGTAGAGACCACCCGTGGTGCGCCAATGTGACTTGGTTAGTGAGTGTTGTTCGGGTGGCGTTGTGGCTGCTTTGCACAGACCCAGAGGCTGAGAACAGCGACAGCGAGGTCTATCAAAGCATTTGTCGTCACGCCTTTAGATCCTTTCACGATGCATCGTGATAGCGAATGTGATGGTCATGGGTGCTCTGAGAAATCTTAAGAATCATCGCAGGGGCCGTTACTGCCATCTGGATACTCCTCATGACCATGACCATGACCGTGATGATCAATATCATTACCTCCGTCGTGGCCACTCCAGTCCTGATGAGAATGATAATGATCCGCCGCCCCGCTTCCGCCGTAATCGTCGGCCTGGCCATAGCTGTCTTTGTCATAGCCCAAGTCCCCGCCGTCGCCATAGTCTTCAAAAGTAGGTTGGTCTGCGTCGTGCTCGTGCTGATCGTGTCGATCGTACTGATCGCCGTGATCTTGATGGTGCTCCATGTTGTCACTGTCACCGCCTTCTCCCGCATCACCATACTCATCTTGCTGAGGATTATGCTGACGGAGCTCACCTAGCAGGTAACTGAGATCTTCTTCTGGGATCTTTTCATGCATTCGAGGTGTATGCTCGGCGATATCGGTGTGCGCCTGACCGTGGAATTGGTTATTGACAGACGGCGCGAACATGGTGAAGATATCATTCACATGTACATCGTCGGGTTGCTGGGTGCGGAGATCTCTCGCCAAATGGACGATGATTTTGCTGTGGTGATGAACAAGAGGCTGGCGTTCATCGTCTTTCGTGTCTGTCAGGGCCGTTAGCCATTACGAAAACGTCGTAATTACCTTGGGAACGGGTTTTACCAGGATGATCATGAATCGCTGAGTAGTCTCCTATCGCGTTATCATGATCGGCTTTGAGCTTCTGAAGGTCGTCGGATAGATCTTGGTGGCCAGACATCTCATAGTGACCAGGCATCTCTTCGTGGCTAGACAGCTCGTGGTGGCCAGGCATATTTTCGCGCCCAGGCATTCTAACAGCGATGTTCATAGTCCGTCAGATGCTTTCCCTAGGTTGGCCAGCCCCATACGGTAGACAAGCAGCGCTTCGTTGTGAGCATCTCGTATCGCTTATGGCCCATTACTGAATCTGGCTAAAGGATTGTGTTTAGATATTTTGTCCTCAAGGCATCCTTTCAGGCTTCTTGTCCGTGTAGGTGATATTTCTAAGTCAGTGGGAATGGGTCCGCTCGTACCCCCGACTCTGGGAGATTTATTGGGAAGATCACAACTGGCGTCAGGTATTATAGTATAACACGAGGGAGTGTTGGAGTGTCCGACATTAGTTTAAACTGAGCTTCTCAGCCTGTGGTGAGTGTGGCTGAGCAACCCTTGAGCTGAGGATAGGAGGCCTCATCTCGCTCCATTGATTGCCAGGCTTCAATCCCTCAGCCATCTCCGTCAAGTGTAATCGGCATCAATCACTGCCAATGTGCAAGTGATATATTGGAGGAAAATGAGGCTTAAGTCCTCTGGCGAGGTAGAACTCTGCCCAATGAAATCCTAGGTCGGATGATGGGCACAGTCAAGAGGCTTAATGTCCATGTAAGTAAAGTGCTCCATGGACTCCTCAAATAATCGACAACAGATACTGGCCATTTTCACCAAAGACTTCATACTCGAGCCAGTCTTTGCTCTTCATCTTTCCAAAATTCCTCCAATTCTCTATTTCAAACCCACCATGGTTCACATGTATGTACCCAGCCCTCTGAAATTGTCCTTTCACGACTCTGGTAGGGCAGAGCAACAGGCGGCATAAATGCCAACCTCTTCGTGAAATAGCCCGCTTCACAATAAGGGGTAAAAAGTGAAACGGAAGAGTTGGGAGCTCCTAGTCAAGGACGATCCAGATCCCTGGGCATGCCATATATCTGACCTGTTCTCTCCAGAGCTCATTGAACAAAACAGGCTATGTCTTTGGGGCCTCTGCATGAAGTTGTAGAGTTGCTATCATGCTAAACAACTTCAGAATTCCGCGATTTCGCAGCCAGTGACGTTGATTTGGATCTTTGTCTTTGCGTCGAATTCTTTTGAGGAATAGTTATCAACGCGGCCGTCTACGCGAGCCCATGACCAATGACATTGACCATGAAGATACGTGATAGACCGCAGGCTGCGCACGATGGATTTGCTGAGAGGAACCCCACCACTGAAGTTGATGCACCAACGTCTTTTTCCATAGCCCAGTACAGTACTGATCGTCAAGAAGTGGCTCGATCGCCTTTACGACGCCTGATAGCGAGGCCAGTCTGTCGATCCCATAAAGTCCACTTGAGTTCCGAATAGCGGTGTACGATTTCGTCCCAAATTTGCCACAAGTTCCCGATTGATGGCGTCCACGAACCCTTCACAATATCTTCGAAAGGATGCTCGATTTGTTGATGTCATACCATACGATCTCTCGAGCGCTGTCCCGTTGAGCTGTGCTTGGTGGCCTGCCGCATGGATGGCTTTCACATGCAGTTGATTCGTTGCCTTCCCAGAATAGTTATGCACCTCCTAAATGAAGGATTCTAGGGGCCAGGAGTAATCCTGAGAGAAGCCACGCACGTCTCAACAGGGACATTCCAGCAAAAGCAAACTCCCAGAAGAGATCGTGGTAGAGATGGTAGGTGTCATTTTTATGGTCAAGCCACTCGGTCTGGATAGTACACGGCCTGATCTGGGAGCCATTTCTGGCAGGGAGACAGCCGACCCCGTCATCAATGGCAGCACTTGCCGCAATATTTAGAAGTGCATACCTGTATCCACTACCCATGAGAGGAGCTTCGCGTTCCAGGCGTCCCATGCCTAAAATATGCAGAGGGAGTCGATCCACATTAGCTGAATTCCCAAAGAGCGAGCAACAAAAATGGTTTCTTGAATCGTTTGGCCGAGTTCTGAAATTGCAACGCCCTGTTCGAGACTTGACGTTGATTCCGATGTTAATCGAAATGGCTGCGATTGACCCCAACAATGACTGGCCGTTGCATATCGGCCTTCTACTCCTCCATTGTTCGGATGAGGGAGCAGGCGGATCTTAACCTCTTCAGGCTGTCCAATCTGGAGGAGACAAGTTGAGTACCTGGTATTTAGTTCACACGATAGTGCAGCTTGACACTTCTCATGCTTATCCAAACACTGACGGAGCCATATCCTTGCTGAGCTCATACTCGAGCTCCAACCATGATGATCAGATGACGCATCCAGATCAAAGAGCCTCCCAGCTTCTGGATTGGTATCAACAAGGCCACACGCTGCGTTGACATGAAGACCTCACCCTTTAATATCCGCTGCCAAAATATGACCACATTCCCAGTTCTATGAACGCCATGCTCATAATGAGAATGTTGACGGACGCCATATGATCCGTAGCAGGGAACTTGGAAAGCCTACGGGCCTGAAGTCGTGCTTTGAACTCGGTGACGTTCTAGCCGAGCCTTGCTCGTGTGGTAGGCTTCCGATAATTCGGTTGACTTGAACATGGCTCCATAATACTCGACAAATATAACATCCTTCTATGGCTGCAAGTTTAAGCTGTTGGGTACTAGGCTGATAACTGATTTGATGGTGAGGGAAAGCCCCCCTGAAAGATCTTTCGGCATAATTTGCAGAGCATATGGTAGTTTGAGCTTCGTACGGCGTGCTGCTCGAGGAGGAAATGAGGGCGGACGTCGTGTGTCGAGGCATATTGAAGAAAAGAAAAGTTGCACCAGAAGACAAGGCTGGGGATGTCGCAGGACCCAGGCAGCATGGTACTATTTAGTTGCTTCAGCGAGGGTGACGAGGAGTAATGCCATATAAACCACCAAAGTAGACGGTGAGATGGCAACCCAACAATTCTCTGCATAAAAGACGCCTTGAATTGATGCTGCTCGGAAGGCCTTGGCAGGTCCTGGCCGTTATTCGCATGCAGATATAGCACCAGAAAGGTGCTCGTGGCGGAAACGGTAATTGGACCCCGTCGAAACGCATGGTCCAGTATTATTAGTCGGTGATCACACATCTCAGCCAATTTATAGGGGTTCTGCTAGTCCGTCAGGGAGCCATTCGGCGCTATCGCTCATGCCACTGAAGCCGCCGAGGTAGTGGTCGTCGTAAGCGCGTCTAGACCTCTGAGCATTTCCCACGGGTTTCGATCATCATCTACCTTCTCATCAGTGAACATCTCCAAAACTTGTCCCACTTCAGCCCGCAAAACTGCGTCCAGCAGCTCCTCCGATCGCTGCCATTCCGTCCTCCGATTCTCATCAGCTCCCTTTTCATCTCCCATTCCCTTTCTAACCGGATTACCCTTGGCGTCTTCCCTCGTTGCTCGTAGACCTTCCAGCTCATGCTGCAGATCGCGTCCTTCTTGTTCAGCCCAGTGTATTTGCCGGCGCAAGAGACGGAACCATTGTGAAGGAGGAAGATTGCGCTCGTACTCGTCCATATCGTCCCATATATCGGTCGGGTAGTAGTCTGGGGGAAGAGGCAGAGACAGGGGAACACTGTCCACGTCAACTGCGTCAGTGAGCTCTTCTGACCCATCATCGTCGGCCATTACAACGTCATCGGGATTGAGTCCCATCATAGTAACCGTATATCGAGTTGGGAGTGAGGGCAAATCGCCGACCAGAGTGGCTTTTTTGTCGCCATTGATCTTTCCGCCCATGGTCAGCTTCAGCCTTTTGATTGGAATATTAGATGACCCTCCGTTCGAGATTCCGCCAGTGTGGCCCCTGGGCACTGGATCACTAGGACGTAGGGCCTCGGTCTCGTGGACAGTACGCATATGCTTTGCGAGAGCATCAGACCTAGTGAAGCTACGGTCGCACTCGGGCAAGGCGCACATGAAAGGCTTCTCTTTGGTGTGGCTTCTCATGTGCGCCTTCAACGCGTAAGCACTCGTGTGCGGCTGGCCCTTTCGAGCGCAGCCTTCCCACTCGCAGTAATACTTCTTCTGACGTGGTACGATGTGAACGTCGTTGATATGCGAAACCAAGTTGTCCATGTTGCCTTGCTCTTGATCTGTGCAGCCGTCCCATAGACACTTTGTGACCTGCACATAGTCTGCCAGTTCGGGATTGTCGGGGTTGGCTTGTGCCGCTGCATACGCGGTCGACAAGGGATGCGTCGGACCCAGGTTGGCAAACGAAGGCGAAGTAGGCACCGAGCCTGAAGAGTCACTTGATATTGAGCCTGTTGGGGAGCGAGGAGGGATGATGGTCGAAGCTGACTGAGGAGTGGCATGATCGTAGCTTGAAACGCCAGTCTTGCGACGTTTGGCGGGAGGCATGTCGAGAGCCGCTGCTGTAGCGCTCATAGCGGATGCAGTTTCATCGTCTGAGGCAGAGATGGTAGAGTCTCTAGAATGGGAACGCGATCTGTGGTGGAACTTGTCTTCAGGAAATTCATCTGAGTCGATATCTGACAAGGGCGACCCAGACACCGGGGTTTCCGGCTCCTGCTCCATGACGATTTGAAGTGAGGTAAAAGTGAGGCAACTCTAATAGCCAAAATCAGGCAAAGTGAAGCAAGAATCAGACTGTGATCAAGGATATATCACTACAAAACCAATACCGTGTCAAGTATCGACCAGAATGAGGCCGGAGTTGGAATTGCGCGACAACGCCACGCTCGGCAGACCTACTTCTAGAGGCAGCGGAAAATCAATTGACTAGATTCCCCCCTTTTGTGACTCGGGGGCGCAATAATAGACTTTTGGTCAGTTCCTCATTCTGTGGCATCCAGGCTGTCAAAGGTTTTCTAGGGGCCGCGTCTATCCGACTTTCCATGATAATAAATCCGAGTAAAAAGGGTTAGGTTCTTGCTGTTGTTCTTGACACCTCAAGAGTTGTGGAAACAGTGCCAGAGCTTCATCATGCTCTAAGCGAGGCGGGGGGCGCTTCAACCTATGCATTAGAGTTGCCTGAGCTGCCTATAGTTCTGTCCCCTGTCGAAGTAGGCAAGTGCTCGATCTCCAAAATATAACATCGCTACCAGTTCATTATATCACCTGTGCTATTGAAAAGCCGAAGGGTTGTTGAAGCGACACCTCTTAGCTTGCTATCATATGAGAGGCTCGACGTGCCTACCCTCGGCATCTCCAGTGAGCCTGTAGTACTCCATTGACATCTCAATCCCTTGTGAAACACGGGGGAAATGGCTTCATTTCAGATCATCATCATTGGCACTGGAATTGCTGGTCTTGCAACTGCTATTAGTCTTTCTCAGAAGACACAACACCAGATTATGATTCTCGAAAGCAGTCCGGTCCTGACCGAGGCCGGCGCTGGTATTCAGTGTTCTGCTGCGGCATCTCGCGTCCTCAGCAGCTGGGCATTGCGCGAGGAATTCGAGGCGGTAGCGACATGTCCAGATTTCACCGAGATCAGACGATATGAAGACAACGAACTTATCGGTCTCATTCCCGCCAACGTCAATGACTATTCCACAAGATTGAGGGGATTTCCACACTGGGTTGTTCACCGAGTCGATTACCAGAAAATTCTTGCAGATGCTGCTACAACAAGAGGCGTCAAGATCAAGTTTGGCCAAAAAGTCGTAGTTATTGACGTCGACAACGTTGAGGTGACACTGGCGAGCGGAAGATCGCTGCGTGCAGACCTGATTATTGGAGCCGATGGTATCCATTCGAGGACCCGGCGCTCAATTCCTGCCCTGAAGGACGTTGTCCCTCGGAGAACGGAGAATTACTGCTATCGAGCCTTGATACCACGTGAGGAGATGCTCAAAAATCCTGTAACTGCTACTCTGATAGACAACCAGAGCCAACAGGCTTGGGCTGGTCAATTCAAGCACATCATTTCCTACCCGATCGCTAAGGGTAAGTTTTACAACTTGGTGATGACGGTTCCAGACCATGGCGACGCACCGTTGGGCCAATACAATGAACCGGGCGACGTCTCGGAGATGCGTCAGGTGTTCAAAGACTTCAATGAGACTGTTCAGGCCGTACTGGACACCGTCGGCAGCTGCGCAAAGTGGGTATTAGCCGACCTACCACCGTTACCTACCTGGTCAAGTCCAAACGGACGTGTTATTCTTGTGGGAGATGCTTGTCACGCTATGGCACCACACGCCGCCTCTGGGGCTGCTACGTCGCTCGAGGACGCCGAAGTCCTTGGTCTTTGCATTGCAAGTTGCAATGGGATAGCAGATCTTCCGAGAGCCGCAAAAGACTATGAGCACCTCCGGAAGCCCCGGTGCGAACGGATCCAGGAGATCTCTCGTGAGAACGCGACCACTTTTGCACTACCAGATGGACCAATGCAAGAAGCAAGGGATAAAACCTGGAGGGCCCAGAAAGCGATGTTAGAGAAGCAATTGCAAGAAGACACTCCCTTAGCCATTCCGGCAGAGGATATGGCCCAACAGTTTCCGCATCCAGCTCTGGTCCAGTGGCTTGTTGGACATGATATCATAGAAGAAGCGAGGACACATCTTGCGAGTCGAAAGGAGATCCACAACATTTTGCAAGAGGTCAGGTAGAGCATGTCGGTGCAGCTTGGGCAAATGGTAAGTACTTCGTCGCACGATTAGTGCTGTCTCTATTGTATTGCCTATTCGGGCAGGTGCCATATTATCAGTATTACGCCCTACGATAACTCTTCTTCGATCCCTTTCTCGATATTTATCCCTTCTTGTGCATTCCTTACAATTCCATCATACAATATAGACCACCTTTGCATTCATCTGAGTCATAGACGTGAAAACCCATCCATGAGCCCAAGCGTAGAATAAGGCGGCGAAGCCCACACAAATTTGCAACGGTAAACAATATCTCGACCCGATTCTTATTGAAACCCTATTACCAACCACTGCCGAGACCCCCAGAGGGTAATAAAATGATGTCGACATCCCTTCCCCGAACTGTGCTTGCCTATCAGCGCAATGCAAAACTCTATGCGCTCTCTACCCTCATCACGTCCATCACACCGTTCCATCAACTCGCCGAAGCCAGCCGGCAACTTTTCAAGACGGCACCGGACGAAGACTCTCTCGTGGTGACCACAGCCGAAACAATCTTCCACCCGCAAGGAGGCGGCCAGCCGTCCGACACGGGCTCTATCACATCGCCCTCGGGCGACGGCGCGAGATTCGACGTCTCCGCCGTGCGCATGGACGTCGTCAACGACGGCGTGGTCCTACATCTCGGCCGCTTCGCCGACCCAACCAAGACGTTCGTCGCAGGCGCCCCGGCCACGCAGGCCATTGACGTCGAGAAACGTCTCCTGTACTCGCGTCTGCACACGGCGGGGCACGTCCTCGGCGCCGCGGTGCGGCACCTACTCGAGCATGAGATCGCCGGCTTCGACGAGCTCAAGGCCTCGCACTTCCCAGACTCGGCGGCCTGCGAGTTCCAGGGCCTCATCGAGGGCAAGTGGAAGGAGCCCATCCAGAAGCGCGTCGACGACTACGTCGCCCGCGCCATGCCCGTGGAAATTGAGTTCTGGGACGAATGCGATTTTCGGCGGGAAGGGCTCGAGAGGCTGATCCCTCGAGACGACGAAAGCGTTAAACTGCTAGCCCCAGGGGAGAAGTTCCGAGTCGTCAGGATCGTCGGTGCAGAGGCCTATCCCTGTGGCGGCACCCACGTGGACACGACGGATCTATGTGGCAAAGTCGGGGTGAGGAAAATCAGTAGGAACAAAGGGACCAGTCGGGTGAGTTATAATGTGAGTTCAACTCTTTGAGCTTTCGGCAGGGAGGGCTAAAGACCTTCTTTCTTTTGCATACATGGCCTTAGAGAGGGAAGGGTTTTCCCCTGCATAGTATGTCTTCTATCGACCGATTGTCTAGGGATGGGCATCTCTGTGGGAGTTTTAGATTGTAAAGGCAATGTGCAAAATTAAGGTAACTTGGAACAAAGGTCTTTTGCTTTTTCCATCAGATGGACTTATTTCGTCCCGTCCAACTTCTCGCCAAATATGCCTTTGGGCGGCTTCCACTCGTAGTGATGGGATCCCTTGAGCGGCTTTCCGGGCCACTCGGACTTCAGATCGAAGCTGTGCGCGCCGAAGTAATCCAGCTCGGCCTCCATGAACTGCGTGGGCAGCTCCGTCGAGCCCGAATATGTGATGTACTCGAGCGTGGCAGAGAGATATGGAATGTAGGCATCGACCGCGAGGGATTTGAGGACCACGTTCTTCAGCGACGGGAAACAAGTCCCCCACTCTGCGGCGACGTCGTCTTGCGAGAGGAGGTCGTCGACGGCGATCCCCTTAGGAGACTGAGTGTCAGATCGTGATGACAGGACCCGGTCGAGCAGGTCCGAGATGTAGTCACTCTGGATAATGCAGCCGCCTTGCCAGATCTGCAGGATGGCTCGGTAATCGAGGTTCCAGTCTTGCTCGCGATCCATGGCTTTGATGATGCCAAGCCCCTGGATGAATGTACTGAGGAATGCTGCGTACAGGGCGAGCCTCGAGTCCTCGATGAACGATGGTAGGGCTTTCTATGTGGCACCTCCAACTTGATGGTTGTCAGTTGTGTTGCGCCGCCTTTGAAGGCCCTGTTGACTCTCTCGCGCTTGGCTGCATCTGCCGAATCAAGTCGGAGCAAGTGTGCACTGAAAATGGTGGATGAGGGCACGCGTAGACGAACCGTCTCATCGCAGGTCCAGACGCCTGTGCCTTCAGAGTTACCAACGTCTTGGACGACTTTGTCGAGGACATTGGCCAGCACGAAGTGTCCTTCCTGGTCTTTGGTGCGATTGATGTCCGCGCCAATTGCCGCCAGAAAGTTATCTCTGAGCGGGTCACTTTCATTCCACGACTGGAATGTGTCAGCAATTGCTTCATATGCCATCTTCAAGCATCTGTTCATTATAAACCAGACTTTGGCAATGGCAGACATCATGCCTTGTTTAATGCCATTGTGAACCATCTTCACGTAGTGCCCACTCCCTCCTGGTCCAATACACGTTGTACACGGGCGTCTTTCCTTGTCTTTCGCGGCTACTCGCTCAAGGAACGGGATTATCTTCTTCAGAGTCTCGGCATCGCCTCCGGGGGGGACATAGAGGGACCGTGTCTGGCGCTTTGGTACCCGCCGTTTACACCGCAGCCAATATAGTGGATACCATCGGGGTCGAGGGCCTTCTGTCGGCGCTCAGTGTTCCGCCAGTTTTCGTTTGAACAGTCGAGTATAATGTCACCTGTCTTTAGACACGGACGTAGACTTTCAACAGTCTTGTTCCCGACGGGACCGTGAGGTATGCTGAAGACGAAGAGCTTGGGTGAGTCTGGTGACAAAATGTTTTCGCAGAGCTCCTTGTAGTCTTTCTGGCGCTCAATACGATTGCTACCATGGATGGATTCAGCGTGTTCTTGGAGTTGCTTGACGTTTTCCTCACCTGTTCCATCCTAAATTAGCTCAGGTGATTGTGATACAGGAAGTGAGGCCATGAGGGAAATCTGCTAACTCATCCTCGGGTCGCAGTAGTGAACCTCAACTCCATGTTCAGCATATAGCAGGGACATCATGCCACCCATGCTTCCCACCCCAATCACGCCAAGCTGTATCAGCGGTCAGCAGACGTACCTGTTTGACGTCGTAGTTCGTGATGATTCTGTCAGCTTACCTTCTTGAACTCTGGGCGGTTCTCTTGACCCATGGTGTGTGTTGAGGAAACGTATCTGCCCGATGGTAATAACAAGACTTTGGGTTATCTGGCCGTGAAGTCCGGTTAGAGGGAAGTCTGTCATTAGTTCACTGGTGAAATGGAAACCAAATATCAAGGGAAACACGGTGAGATGCACGCGTACGAGGTAAAGAGGAAGTATTTCTTTCGCATATATTGACGTCATAGGGGCATGCTGGATGTTGTATTCCGAGCTCAGGCGGATACCCACCGAACTGATAAAAAGTGACGAAATCCAGGTAATACTTTAGGCTTGACTTGAACTTCAAAGGTCACATAGTAAGATACTAGGGCCCTTGTTCTCTCTTCGAGCCATTTGTACGCAAGAGACAAGGGGATTTGGGAGCCAACGGAGAAGCAGGGTTTATAGCAACCAGCATGGCCTCCTTCAATGGGAAGGAGATTCCAATCTGCTATGCCTCCTGCTCCATAGGACATGAAAGTTCGAAGCATACGTTGCCGGAGAAGCTGAAGGCTCTTGCCAATGTTGGATTCGACGCCATTGAGCTTTCGATGTCTGACATCCTCTCGTACGGTCAACAAGTCTCCAAGAGCAAGGCAAAAATTGATCCAAAGGATTACCAAACACTTCGATCCGTCGCCGCAGAGATCGGAAAGCTGTGCGAAAAGGAAGGCTTGAAGGTTCTGATGTTACAGCCATTCGCCAACTTTGAGGGTTGGCCCCGAGGAAACGAGAGGAAAGATGCTTTCGAGAGAGCCAAAGGGTGGATGAGCATAATGGAGGCAGTTGGGACAGATATGCTTCAGGTCCGTAGGCTCTGATTCTCTCCTATCCGGGACGTAACAAGGCTGTATTGACCAAAAGAACAGATTGGATCTTCTGATGCGGAGGGCATCTCGTCTAGGTTTGACCACCTGGCGTCCGACCTGGCTGAGCTTGCAGATATTTTTGCCGAGAAGGGGTTTCGAATTGCATAAGAAAATTGGTGCTGGGCCACGCACGCTACGACATGGAAGGATGTCTGGGAAAATAGTCACGAAGGCCAATCGATCCAATCTGGGGTTGTGCCTCGACACCTTCCAGAGCGCAGGAGGAGAATGGGGCAGCCCGACGACGAAATCTGGACGAATCGAAGACGTCAGTGCTGATGAGTTGGACAATAGTTGGAAGAGGAGCTGCGAAGTGCTCTCGAAGACCATCCCTCCGGAGAAGATATTCTTGTTGCAGATCTCAGACGCATACAAAATGGAGCCGCCATTGGTCGACAAACCCGACGACGGCGGCCTGAGACCTCGGAGCCAGTGGAGCCATGGTTATCGACCACTGCCATACGACGGTGGATACTTGCCCGTAGAAGATTTCACCAGAGCCGTGTTCAAGACTGGGTTCAGAAACTGGGTGTCGGTGGAGATATTCGATTGCAAGGGCCCAGAGAAGTACAGGGACGATATGGGACCATTTGCAAAGAAGGCCTTTGAATCGGTGCACGCATTGTTGAAGCAGGTCGGAGACACCGCTTAATTGTCAACCATTGACCAGGTTCATGATTATCCAAAGTACTAGACTGGGTTCGAGGAACGAGTTGAGATCCAGCACAGGACGCATGGGTGAGAGTCCGCATGTAGATTGCTTCAATGGAACTATCCGTCTCGGTACAAGGTGGCTGTGTCTCTGTTGTCGGTCGGCTCCTGTTCGAATGTGCCAGTCACAGACTTCCCACATTGTACTCTGTATTCCGGACGAAAATACGTAGCTTGCAGTGAAGTACCTCGTAACTTGGGCCAGTCGAAAATCAGCCTTGTGGAACCTTTCATGCTGTTCTGCCTTGGTATTTGCTTCATTGCGGCCATATTCCGCCCTGCGAAAGGCAAACATAGAAACCGCAGGGGCGCTGACAGGAGTCACTTACATGCAGCATTCAATGCAGTACAACCTGAGCTCGGGCGTACCTCCTCTGGATTGAGTGGACACCCTACACCAGGCGCGGGCGAGAAAACAAGAAATACCCGCCGGATTGCAAAAAGATATTCCACGATTGTTCGAAGTCCTCGGTCACATGAAACGCAGGGGCTGATGTAGATGAGTCGCGTACTCGTAAAGGAGATGTGGATTCGGCAATCTGCGTCCATGGCAGGTCGCAGCGAGGCAGGTAATATGCTAATGGATGTTCATCCATGACGCGCTCTCAGCACTCTCAGCACTCAGGCCGTCTACCGGGTCTTTCTGGTCGGAAGATGGTGACACTGAGAGTTTGTTCTTCGGATCCTGTTTCCGTATTGGAAGCCGCGCCTGTGTCTCGGTCTCATCCATGATCAAATGCAGCAAACGCTGGCCCCCAAAAACATTAACCGGACGCGGCCGATTGTTGCACACGGAAGACCGCAGGCACCTCCATCAGTGATCGGTCTCTATTACTTCCGTGCGGAGGGATATGCTTCTCTCTCTCGGGACCAGGGTAATGACAGCCTCTAGAAGCGCGTTCTACAGGCATCCCCTCCCGTGCAGTGGTGAGTAATGTTGAGTGATGGAATGTGGGCGGAAATTGAGGCTAATATCAAGCTTGTCTTGGCATTTGATAAGGATCAATATGTGGTTGCAATTTCCGACCCTTCCATCAAATTTCCTCGACACCGACTCTGCCTGTCATTCCTCATCACTTGAAAGATGCACGTTGTTCTTCTACCCAATGATGCCTCTATCATCACTGTGGCACCTCGTTTCAGCCTGCTATCGCGTCATGCAGCCCCAAACCCATCTTCAGCCCCCGTTCGCTCTGTGCCCGACGCCTCTTACTCTGTGGTACAACATCTTCGTGAATACAGTGGCCTGGGTTTATACCAGACACCCCTGTTCGATCATCTCGACCGTCTATTTCTGTTCTCGGTGTGCATCAAAGTCCGGATATCTCCCAACCGGGAAGTCAGTGATCTTTATCGTCATTGCCCTTGTTTACCAGGAGCAGATGCCTAGTCCTTGTTAACTTTGAACAGACGGGAGATCGTCATTGAACAAGGACACAGGAAGATCTCCTGCAAGGGCACTGAAAATCAAAACATTCTTGGCTCATTAAGGGATCGACTGCGAATGTCTGCCTCGGAACTGGCGCCCGACGGCCTTGTCCAATGTCCAATCCAAGGTCTGCATCTTGGTTTGAAGCCGTAAAGTGGTGGCTTTTTGGTGGCTTCTTACGACCCATGCTATACGAGTATACCTTTCCGAGTGACGCTTGGAAATCTCCACCTTCCCTCCCGCTGCACAACCCAACACCTTTACAAAGTTTATGACGATTTAAGTAATATGTTGTGGATGCGTCTTCCAAGAAAAAGCGACATGGGCCTCGAGTTATACAAACGGTAAGTCGGTGCCGATGTGCGAGGGCAGAAGGATATCGCGACACGTAGGGAGTACCCTGGCACGCAGCTACATTTGTGGTAAGGTATACTACTTTATAGTCCTGTATCCCTTTCTTCGACCCTTTTCTCAACCATTTGCTCCAACTGTGTGACAACTGGGCCCAACATTCTCATTGCCCGTTCGTTTCTTTCGGCGAAATGCGCATTCCCTATAATATTATCTATCATGACTCTCGGAGATCTCGATAGGTTGCAGTCAAGCATTCCTTCCACCCCGACAAATCACCACCACCACACCAGCAAAGTTCCTGTCGATATGGAGAAAGCTCTTCATTCAAAGGCACCAATGCCTTCAGGACCACCGACTGGACCTCCTGGGCCTCCGGGCGGCTGGCTGTTCACCCGCATGTCAAAACAACAAGAGATTCTCTTTAACTTGATGGTGGCATTCCTTCAACTTATTCCTCAATCGACCTTGACGACAGTCTTTCCAGTCAGCCGGGACATCGCACAGTCATTCTCGATATCGAATCCTTCGGTACTGCCGTGGCTCGTCGCAGCGTACGCATTGTCGTTTGGAACATTCATTCTAATAGGAGGACGACTCGGTGACATATTCGGGCACAAGACAATGGTCGTGATCGGCTATTCCTTCCTCAGCTTCTGGAGCGTCGTGGCTGGGCTAAGCCATTACGCTGGCTATGAATTGTTCTTCGTCGCCCGGGGATTCCAAGGTCTCGGTGCGAGTCTGATGGTGCCAAATGGCTTAGCACTACTGGGCCGAACCTACCCCCCGGGGTCGAAACAGAAGATTCTCTCCTTCACTCTGTTTGGTCTTTGTGCCCCAGTTGGAGCCTACATGGGAATGATCTTTGGTGCCGTGTTCACCAAGTTTGCAACCTGGTGGTGGAGCTTCTATACTCTGGCCATCGTAAGCTGTTTTCTAGCTATCGCCGCATCGAGTATTTTGGTCTCTCCACCACCGACACCGAAGCAGATGCTACCCGTCAAGGAGAAGCTGCGGGATATGGACTGGCTTGGGGCTTTCACAGGTGTTGGCGGCCTAGTGTGCGTTCAAGTCTCACTGGTCTCCGCTCCCGCCTCCGGCTGGAGCACACAGTACATTTTCATGCTGCTGATTATTGGCATCTTGCTCATTGCGTTCTTCGCCATCACGGAAGTCAAAATCGCCGAACAACCATTGGTGCCTTTCAAAATGCTCAAGGCAGATGTTGGGTTTGTGCTTGGCGCTGTGGCTTGTGGATGGGCCACATTTGGAATATGGACGTGGTTTCTATGGAAATTTCTCCTTGGGATCAAACAAGATGCTCCCCTTGAGGCGGCAGTGCATGTCTTACCAATCGTCCCTGTCGCCTTGATTGCCTCAGTGTTGACCGCTTGGATGATGCGGAAATGTCCGCCCTCGTGGACTCTGTTCTGGGCTTTGGTGGCTTTCACATTCGGGCCGCTCCTTTTGGCTATCGACTCAAACGTCGACAAGACGGTATACTGGAGCTGGACCTTCGCCAGCCTCGTTGTCATGCCTTTTGGCATGGATATGTCCTTTCCAGCGGCCACACTGATCATGTCCAACTTCTTTCCTCCTCAGCAACAAGGTGTTGCTGGCAGTCTCATCAGCACCGTGGTCAACTACTCCATCTCTCTCGGTCTTGGTCTCGCCTCTACTGTCGAAGTTCATGTAAACAATCATGGGCGTGATCCGCTTGCCGGCATTCGTGGCGGCTGGTTTATGGGCGTTGGCCTAGGCGGCTTGGGAGTTCTCATCTGCGTCGTCTTCGTCATCAAATCTATTTTCTACCCGACTCCGCAGCTACCGCTGGGACCGCCAGGACCGCCAGTTCCATCAGGTTCAGGCACAAGTATGCAAATGGCGCCTCAGCGACCTCCCCGTGAGCGGAATCCATCACGAGCTGCTACCATTTCGAGTCTAGCAACTACGGTCGTCCCTGACAGCGCTGGGGCTTTGAGCCCCAAGCAAACCGAGATCGAGCTCTTCAAGTCCTTCAACTTCGAAAACATGCCACCATCGACGTCCCCGCCGACCCTTACCACGCCCCGATCCCAATCATTCAGCACCTCACCACGTAGTGGCATCTCAAACTTTTCTCATCCTGCATCACCCAAGACCACCAACGGCACCAAACCACGTCGGAAATCAAAGAACACTCAACACGGACATCATCCCCACCGGGACAGCATGGAGTATTCGCATTCTCGCTCAAGCTCGCAAACGCACCTTGCTGCGCAGACGCCGCACAACCCGGTGTCCGCACCCCCAATGCCGGCCGAGCTGGATGCCGTTTACCGTGTCCGCGGCAGCTTCGAGAGCGAGTACAGTAATGAAGAGCCAGCACACCGCTGGGAGTGGCCTCCTGCTCCTCGCCGCGACGGCGCTGCTAGAAGACAGGGCAGCGAGCCGTCTGATGACGACTATGCCTATGGCTCGGGATCTGGATTCGCACTACAAGACCTGGACGGGTTCGGGTACGATGCTCGACCTGTGGTGCCCAGGGGAATGATGGGCGATAGATTCTGAGTTGTGTTAAAGTTTTATCTTTGTGGAGTTTCCTTTTTACGACTTTCTTCAGCTACGGCTGCAGTTACGACTTTCGAACGGACGTTTAGATGGAAATTGAGGGGCGTTCTTGGGAACCATGGCATCGACTTTGTCTCAGATATCTTCTTGAACCAGGCAAAGGCGTACAAAGGAAAAAATAACAGAAGAGAAAGTGGAAAAAAAAAGGGGGGGGAGGACGCCAATTTCTTTGCATTGGAATATGGATGGATGTCAGTGCCTGCGGCAAAGTTAACGGGTATCGGTGGACATTGTTTCTCCGGATGGCGCACCAAGGACCATAAAAGGTGCGCGGATATGAATACATGATATTGACTCGCAAGTATTTCTATTGCTGGCAAGAGTTCCATGTTATTTCCTCAATTATTGCCACTTGACCTCTAGAAAAACGAAGGCAGAATTTCGAGGCCGGTCGACTCCTGCCGTAGATACCCAGGTCATTTTCACCAAAGCACGAATTTCCTCCGTACCAAAGACGTCCAGCAACGATTTTGGGGCCTTCGGAGGCCACTGTCTCGCTTCCATCTATATCGCGACCCTCAGCCCTCTGTGCAATCTCTTAGCCGCATTGA